CTGGGACACTGAAATAACTAGTCGCTTGCTCAAAGCGGAAAGAACTTTCTTCTCACTAATAAAATTTTTTAAATCAAAACTTTTCTCTAGAGGAACAAAGGTACGACTATATATGAGCATTATAAGACCAACGCTAACCTATGAATGTGAGGTATGGCCGACGACAGTACAAATCGAACAAAAACTCAGAAGTTTTGAGAATAGAGTTTTAAGAACAATATGTGGACCGTTTTTTGATTCTGAAATAAACAGGTGGCGTAGAAGAAAAAACAAAGAAATAAGAGAAATCACCAAAGTACCTCCCATAACAAGTCATATAAAGGGACAGAGAATACAATGGTTTGGACACGCAATGAGACGAGACGAAACAAAATTTGTTTTCAATTGCTGCTCTGACTTCATTTAATGAAGTCAGAGCAGCAATTGAATACAAGCCAGCAGGCAGAAGACCTAGAGGCAGACCGAAGAAACGATGGATGGATGGAGTGCAACAAGATCTAGAGAGGTTAGAAGTAACAAATTGGGAGGAGAGGATACAGGATCGTGATTATTGGAGAACAGTGACAGTGGCAGCCAAAACTCTTACAGAGTTGTGAAGGCACAGAAAGAAAGAAGAAAGAGGAAGAAGAAGAATAATGGTTGTGTTGCTGTAGGGCCAACCCTTGCATTTGTTTTATTATTATTTGCGTGCCGTGTGGGCCTCATATTGTATTATTAAATATATTATCATATCATTATTATTATTTTTTATTATGATTGATTATTATGAAAATTGTATCATTTATTATTTAACCGGCGAACAAGCCAGCCCTATATTATTGTTGGGCACTTGCCACGCCAACAACAGTGGTTGCCACTTAATGGACTCACGGTTAATTGATTTATTAGTCTTAAACAGACCAATCTCAATATACTTGACATATAACAAGCATTGGTTGTATACTAACACACAGAAAAATATTCGATTATTAGAAAGCCAAGGATCTCACGAAGAAAATTGGCAAAAACGATTTTGTGGCAACAGATGGTTTAGACAATAAGTTAGGGCCTAACCGTTAGGCAACAGATGGTTTTATTAGTGGAAGAAACATGAAATAATTTCGTTCGCTAAGCGACATGGGAAACGAGGAAAAGTAGACTACGAATCTGTACGATCGTGGATTCATTCAGAGTGGCTATCTCATATCAACCAATCTGTCTCGTGTGTTCGATGTGAATGAAATAGATCTTTATTTCCGAGCATTAACTAAAGACAGGTACGTGTTCAAAAATGAAAAAGTTAGAGGAACTAAAACTATTTTAAAGAGCAAGTTTATACCGGTCGAAGTAGATATTAATTAATGGTCAATCATTCTTATCACTGATATCTTAAAGTTTGAATCGGTTAGGTTTTTACCGTACGAAACGTACAGAATACACATTAATGCCAGTCCGTCAATTATCGCCGACCACCAATGGCTTAAATTCAGTTATAATACGTTGTTACTTGCTTAGTTTTAATTAATATTCGTTTTAATTATTATTTTGTTTTTATTTAATTTTGGACAAGAATAGAAGAAAAATTGAATTATAAACAAATATTTTTTACCTGAGTAAGAGGCATTCTAGTTTTATTTACTGGACCGATCAGAACCTTTTGAACACGTGATATTTTGTTTTATTTGCTACCAGACACAACTGTTTTTTAATATTTTTAATATAAAACCTCATTATGAGACTTAATATATATTATTTGCAAAAAATGTTTTGTATTATAATAAAATATGTTGAAAATATTTGCTTTGAATTTTTATGGCCCCCGAAAATTTTCAAAATTCCCAATGTGGCCCTCCAAAAATATTAATTAGTGATCACTGCTATAATACATTGATAAATACATGTATTATTGGCTATTTTTTAAATCTAAAATTAAAGATTTTTAAAGATATTTAATGAAAAAACGTTTAACATAAATTCTCGAATCTATTTACATTTTTATGTTCGAGGACTGAGTACTAATTTAAAAAATGTAAGCAACTTTTATTAGGAAATTAAATATTGTAAAAGCCATATAAAATTAAAAAAACTTTTTTTGTTAAAAATTATTAAAATCAAAAAAGTTTAACCAATTTTTTGTCTAGAGAATTACAACTCTAACTGTCATAAACTTGTAATATTTAAAATTTACGAGTATTTACTAGTTTGAAAATTAAACGAATGATCAATTCAACTAATTGCGATGTAAAAATATTCAAACTTTGATTTTACATTATTTTTGTTTGCTTTTTTAGATTAGAGCTATTGTATGATTTAGTTTCAAAAAACTATAACGTTTATGTTATTTGATTAATGAATAAATATTTTCTTCTTCAAGATGTAAGATTATATTGTCCTATACAATGTGTATTTACGATTTGAAAAAAAAAACATTAAGTAGGTATTTAGTATTTACTAAAGTCTGTAGTAGTTATAAACTATTGTATTTATCATGATTTTTCACTCACACACACACACACACACAAACATTATATAATGAACTTATTACTATATATTAGTGATGGGTCGAACTGTTCGAATCTCGAACCGAATCCTTAATGTTTGGTTCAATTCGAAATTTGAACTCGGCATGAAAAAAAATCGAACTGAACTATCAAACATTGTTTACTGTTCGAAAATCGAACTTGAAAATATTTGTCGAACCAGGCTTACTGACACGATAGTTTGAAAACCAAATATTTGTACAATTCTTCAAAAGTTATTTTTGAAAAATAAAAATTGATAATGATTATTTAGAAATAATTAGACTATTGGCGATAGAAAGTAATAATCTGCAAAGGGCGCGTTATGCATTATTTATAATAATAATGTTATTTTTCCAGTCGCATGTTACACATTCACCCTCCGCCGACTAAAACATTAATAAGTTATTTATCGCCAATAGAGACAGTGTATCAACATTCATAAATTAGCTATTTTTGTTTTAATTAATGTTTAAATTATAGAGGTTAAAATCTATTTTGGGTAAATCCATGGTAATATTCCAATACCGCGACTGTACTGTTAATAAAAACATGTCTACAACTTACATCTTATATTATAAATTCTACTAATCATTCTATATTTGTGAATTATAGTTATTATTACTATTTTTTTTTAAATATTATTAAAATGTATTGATTGTATTGTCATATTACACTCAATACTCAATACTCAATAAATATTTTATAAGCTACAAGACAACACGAGAGAGTACAATACTGGTTTTGAATAATAATAATAATAATAATAAGAAATTATATAAAATTTAAATTTATTGTAAATAATACAATTACTAAGACTAAAAGTTAAAATGTAGAATAGGTAATACGGAAACTTAAAATACAATAGTAATTAATAATTATGATTATTTTAATTTGTAGGTAGGTACAACGTACATGATAAAAAGTATTGAGTTCGAGTTCGAGTTCGACTTAAAATCATAATAGGTTCGGTTCGATTCGGTTCGGTAGAAAATATGAAGGTTCGGTTCAGTTCAAATTCGAAAAAATAATTTAAAGTTCAGTTCAAGTTCGGTTTGATTTAAAAAATCAGGGTTCGACTCATCATTACTATATATATATATATATATAGTGAACTCTTTACTAATATTTACATTTTGTTTTCAATACCAACCCCTTTATTTTATTCAGGTTACAAATGAATTCCTAAACAAAATACCACGGTATTGATGGTTTAACGTGGTCAATTATGGTAGTCAGGATGTTACGATGTTACAATGGTACTATAGAAATTTAAAAAATGTTTAAAAATCAAATACATTTGTATAATTTACTTATTAAATTAATAATATTGGACATTTATATTTCTTTATTTTCATAAACAAATATAAAAAAATATTAATTATACATTTGATAATTATTCATTCAGGTTCTAATTAAAAATTCTCATTTATGAAGTCTTCACGGTCTAAAAAATATTTTTGGTAGTATTGAACTCTTCGAGCTGTATTGCTTATAAGTTAATTAAATAATACAATCATGTAGGTATTGGATGTTGTAAATGAGTCATAACTTTAAAAATAAAATTGTTCAACGTTTTAGAAAACTATAGAGATGAGCGTTTATAAAAATTGCATTTACGTCGTTTGATTTTTGTCGAGTGAGCAGATCAAAAGAAGAGTATTATCAAAAATAATCTATATTTTATTCACACTACATAATGTTATTGTTCTTTGTATAAAAACCGTTTATTGTAAGTTGGTTGTATATTTGATTTCCCTTAGAGACCATGTTTGGCTCGAAACATAAAAACTAATAATTCGAAATAATAAAATCATAAAATCTCAGGTGAATTGCAATTTGTCAGGCAATGGAAAATCTTCATAGAGTTATAAAGTTTTCCAATGTATATCGATAGGAATACGGGATACCAGTCAATGATTTACGAGTTTAGTTAGATCTGATTAATATCGTATTATTCGATACCTAATAGAAACCGATTTGTTAACTAATGAAAAGAGTCTCTGTCTAACTAACTCTTGGTCACGGGGTTTATTTAGAAAAACGATTAAATGAGTCGCGTAATCGTTCAGAGAGAATCCTAAAAATCGTGCGAATCCTGTTCTTCCCTTCTGGGTTAGTTTTAGATACTGAAATAAAGAAAGAGGCATACACGTCAAAAAAGTTAACTAATATATATATATTAAAGTAACATACTATTCACGCTACTAATTTAAAAAATATTCTATAATATGTTTCGATAGTAATCGATTTGTATATTTCTATACATATTTAAAAATGTGTACAAATTTTCAATAGTGTTTTAATATTAAATCCTTTTTTCTTCTTCTAAATACTGAATACTATAATTAGTTTCTAGAAAACTTCATGTCTGGAGGGGAGAGCCTATGCCCTATGTTAACCTCCTCAAAGTCGTCACTCCTCCCTTCTGCTTTGTTACGTACAAAATCACAGTGATAATATATTACACAAAATTATTCATTTGATACTGTATTGTTTCAGAGCGACTACAGAATTGTACAGTTGGGTCGATAAAATTTGTCTTCTCAACCCGATACGTTCCGGGGATTTTTATAATAAAATCGTGGCTTTTGCGGGACGACGACTTTAACAGTATCAAATGCCAAACGGAGACGCAGCCGCGATTTATGATTTACCAAATCGTTTTTCATATATACGTCTTAAAACCAATAAAAACTTTTCAGCGCGATCTTCCGCTTCCTATCTCATCGACCAGAGTTTATTTATTTACCAACTTATTTCAAACAAATATCATTCAATCCTAATGTATGGCCAGCGTAAACCTCAATAATAATACGTCATATTAGTGTATTCGCGACACACACACGCAAATATGCACAAATCGTAGACAATCGTTTTTATATTGTTAGTTGTAGAAGTGGTTTCCTCAACCTCGTGTAAACCTAATTAAAAATATCTGCATTTTATTTGCTAATGAATTCTTTGTATACCTCAACAGTTTTACAATTTTTTTTTTTAACATTTTTACATTCCTGTACTCCTAATAACATAATATACGGTTGAATATTATAATATTATGTGTACATGTTTGCATGCACTTGTTTTTACATTAATGTATACATATAATCGTATATTTATGTTTTTTCCCTATTTTTAATTTTTTTATTGAGTGTCCCATTTTGTCTATTAACTTTACTACTACTGTTATCATTGAAAATTACGAAAATAGTTTGTATTCCTCCTTAATAATAGTTTATTTTTCAGAGTTTCGTAAAGCAATAAAGTAAACATCAAAACGCTCTTCCTTCCCATCCGTCATCGTACATTGATCGTAAATGCGTAATGCTTATATTTGAAATAATACATGTGTCTTATAACAATTCCGTCTTCAGCGTATAAACATACTAACCCCGAGACATTCAAAAACTGCTACAAAATCTTGATGGTGTGCTTTTGCGTTAGCGTCTAAGGCGATGTTGCATTCAAAAGGCAATTCTTCCGCCATCATTTCTCTTGAAATTAGTTCGTGTTCACTATCCTTTGGTTCTCACTTCTAATAACACGATTATAGCGATTTATAATTTCTATGAACATTCTGTGCAGTTTAAGTGTAAGCTATTTTTGACACATTAATCTTCTCGGTTAAGTGAATTCAAATTATTTTCTCTTTAAATGATTATATTAGAACCTATTCAAAAACATTATTCACTAAATTGGTCTAAATAAATTTTATAGTCTGTTTTTTGAAAATATTTGTTATTATAATTAATATACAAATAATAATATTGTGAATATTGTAATACCTTATATACTAAATAGCTAATTATTTTAAACTTATCGAGTGGTATAGATAAGGGTTATAATATGTAACTAAAATATGCCTGTAACAAAATACTTTATTACAATGATTGAATAATTTACACTGCTACAATTAAATATTTATCTATTGATGGTTTTCTCATAAAATAGGTTTTGAAATTGTTTAAGATAAAATATATTAAAATAATGTTATATTATTTATTTTTAATTATAATATTAAAGTACTTCAATTTTATTACATATTCGTTTATTATATTAGTTTAGGTTATTTTATATGAAAAATTATTTTTTTTGATTAGATATAAGTAAAAAAAAAAAAAAATATTTTATTGATTTTTTTATCGAATTTTATTAAATATTTATAAATATTTATCAAAATCAAGAAATCAATTTCAACAATATTTTCTTGAATTAAAGATACACTTTTATTTACTTTCAATAGTTAGTTAAAGTTTGGGACCAAAACTGTAATAGTAGGTATTTCGTTCGATTTTAAAATATTTTGAAAGGATGTGTTTTACAATCAACATATCTCTATGCTAACTATAAATTCCTCAGACTACTATATTTGTTTAAAAATGTTTTATGTAAATACGAGTCGTATTTAAAAATAATTAAATTGCTACTTTGCATAATATAATTATGTAATAGCTTAAACTTGAGAGTCTTGTAATGTAGTTTTACAATTAATAAAATAACAAGAATAGCTATTAAGTTTACTCATTTAAAATCAACGAAAATGTTTGATGGAAGTATAAAATATTTTTAGTCCTTAATAAACGTTTTGCATTCATGGTATTTTATCATGGTCATCAATCTGTCTTCAGTAGTCTGCCATAATTTACACCCATTTACATTTTGATTACTAGTCCGTATCGATATTATATGTTTTTCTTTTATATATAAAATTAGTATTTAGATTATCTATTGTATTTAATACAACTATAATAATTCAAACAATTATAAGCTCTAATTTAATTTTCTTTTATTAAATTCCTAAGATTAAGAATAAAAATTTGATATTACGAGTAGTATACGGTTTTAAATAGTATTTTAATAAATATCAGTTTTCTTTGTAAACATTTTATAAACATAATTTCTACATTATATATGTATACTAATTTAGTAAATATTAATTTCTAATTTATTTTTAGTTTTCAAAAGAATTTACGCATACATTTAAAATATTAAAGGATATATCATAGATTTTCTTAATTTCTCAGCTGTGAATTTTGACAAATAACCGTATTAATATATATTTGAATACAGCCGAAAGTTGAATATTCCACAATACTTTTAAATTACAATATTTTATTATTGATAAGTTGCTATTTTTATTTAAAAATACATATGTACTAGGTTTTATTTTGCTTACAACGTCGTTCGACTTATTCTCGGATTATGTATAACTATGCAATTAATACAAACATGCATATTTTCACATTCAGAAAAAATGTAAACATATATCAAATCTTATTTATCTGTCAACCGTCTTAATATCATTTTATACGCTTCAAATGCCATTAACTAAACGGCTGTAATGTTATCAGTGTCGCAACCGGTATTTCTTTTTGGAGTTTCGGACAGTAAACTATTGAAAAATTATCTTTCAATACATATTTTTAGGAAATAAAAAGTAATAACTCCAGTATGCCACGTTAAAACGTGTTCATTTAAGATAATAGCTAACCGTCGTGGCAAGTGGTAGTTCATCATAATCACAGCAAACAAAGTGACACGTGTGCTATAGTAGGCTCAGCGTAGTTATTGTATAGATATTCTAACTTCTAAAAACTTCCAACATAGGATTCGTCTTAACGTAAACCTGCACACTTTTCTGTTCCAATTGTAACATTAATAAAATACAAATGTAAATATACTATTATCGCCGGTCACGTGACTCAAACAACTCGAATGTGTAAAAGAAAATTAAATGGGGGACAAACAAAACAATAGGTACATAAACCGTTAAAAGTGATTACAAATTTATACAAATACCAATATATTTGTGTGTGATAAAAAACCAAAAACAAAAATACAGTTACATTTCTTAGCGCGCTATGAAATGTTGCTTATTATAAATTTAATGTGTTTAAACATTACCGTAACATACATTATTTCGGTCGGTCGTTAACCGCTCCTGAAAACGTCCAATAAAAAAATATTTTAGAAACGCCTCCCGGAAAACGACTTTATTTTTCCTATCATTTCCTCCTATTTTACGGTTACTGCGGTTTTTATTGTTAATACTTTTGCTTCAATTCTCGCGTGTGTCCAGTGTCGATTGCTCTGCGTCTGTAAATTATATACTTTAACAGGAGCATGTACGTACATATTGTTTTGATAACTTTAATCATACTTGGCCCGGATTTCTAAAGACTACATTGGCCATGTCTAGCTCGATATGTTGGTTTTACTATTCGATCCAAAACCAAAAAACAGTCACCGTAAAATCACTGCATTTAATAAGATTTCAAAAGTTTCAATAATGTTTTATTATTTTTAATGAACCTCCAGTGGATTGTGTTATTACAATCGAGTACATGCTCTTAAGGTTATGTTAGACCATCAATAACCGGTATAATAAAATGTCATTACGTATAGCAATTTATATCAATAGCGTACAAATCATTATTGGTACGCTGTGATTTTGACATTATTATCATTTACAAATTACCTTTAATGTTAGAGTATGTTTTTCTGACGTACCAATAATGGTCGATTTATTATGTCCACGTAATTAGAAGACTGCAATGATTGTATAACTAGCAGGGTAATAATTACTTATTCGCTTCGTTAGTATTTTATATATTAATTCTAAGTTAACTCTGTGCATACTTTAAATCTTTTATTGCAGATACAATATTTCAGTGAAAATAAAAAAATACAATCTTAACAAACTATTTATTATTTTCTGTTGCCATAGATTAGTTCATTTAATATATGTAAAATGTATTTGCAATTTTAGACCTTGTACTCATTATATAATAATATAAATATATAAATATATACTCTAAGAATAATATTTTTTATGTGTTTAAATTTCATTTTTCGATTTTATGCATTAGACATCGAATTCAGCCGAAAAGTTATTAATATTTTTACAATATATTTTTATACAACAACGTGGGATATATCTTTTTTTTTTTTTCGTAAAAATACTCTAAAAATATTTTGTAACATGCGGTCTCGATTTAAGTTGTATTACCAATTCCTATTTTAAAGAAAAACAGTTAAATAAATAATTGATTTCATCATATTATTGACTAATGGTTTTATTAATTTAAATTGTATAAATTGATTCATTCGATATATAATTAGTAAATATGATTAAATGTTTGTGTAATAAACGGTAAATAAATGTGTTGAATAATTCTTATCCATTTTGAATGCAATACGAATGTACGACACAATAAAATAATTAAGCATAGGTACATAACGTGTCAAAATTACAAGTCTTCAAAGTTAAAATCAATAATCGGTCATTTATATTAGTTTAAAAGTGTAAACATTTTAATATTTTTGAACTAAATTAACTTTGGTATGTTTCAAACTTGAAAAACGTTAAAAAAAAACAAATAAAAAGTAAAAGAAAAATTTGTATTTTTAATACTAATAAAATTGATTAGATAAGTATTTTGTAATATTTTTAATTCATATAACATGAAATAAAAAATAAATAAAAAAGGTTGTTTAGAGAACTGTATTATTATAATTTTACAATCTTATCAAATAGTCATTTAAAAAACTTTCTGAATATAAAAAAATGACTCTTAAATATGCATAAATTGTATGGAGCTTTTATTAACTTACCATATAATAAATAAATAATAAATTTTATCAAAAAAGAAAACATAATTCCCAAACCAGTAGGTTTACCTAAGTTATAATAATATTAACAAATATTATGTGTGAAGTGATAGTTATTTCACGAAAAAAAAAGTAGTAAAACAAAAAAAAAATATATAAAAAAATAAAAGTGATGTTGTTATTCGTAGAAACAAATTTTACATTGGAATAGTTACCAAATAGTAACCTAAAAAAATTTTCTGAATCGTTGAAATATACTAGGGATATGTGAGTCCGGACAACAGGGATGATTTCCATTAATATTACCACAACTGTAACCGGGTTTTTAC